CCATTTATTCGAACGCATCCTTCGTCTCTCTGCTGGCCTGGTATCACCTTAGTGTTCTATTACGGGGCTAAACAAAATATCTTTTTCTGTTTAAGTTCATACAAATAAAAAGATTAACTTAAATATATTTTTTAAAGAAAAACATAATATATATACACACATATATATTATAAATATATGTGTGAAAGGAAGTCATGTTCACTGTGAATATAGAGAATAGATTTTGACAGACAGAATGTTTGGTGCTTTAGCCCCACCTGGTGGGCAGGTAGAGGAACAACCGATAGGTTTATAGCAGGTAAGACCTGTTTCAACGTCACTGCATGTTCTTTGTTTTTTTTTTTCTAAAACACAGAAGCAACAGAGACGTTTAGATTTAGTTGGTCAATCATTTGACAGATCTGGAAACTAACGGCTTCTACTGTCTGTGCCTTTATTTAACACCAGAGGAGGAAACTAAATCAGCCTCAGAAGGTAAGAATCCAGGTTAAACATTTGCTATAAGGTAGAAATGTTGGTGGATTGCTTCAGTGATTGAGTGAATTCACAATCACCTCACAGCGTTTGCTCTTATAAGTCTCAGGGAAAGTGAAACTATGTTTGGTTTGAATCACTGCGGAGGAGCGAAGAGCATTTCTATTGTTTCAGTTTATTGTTTCGCTGTAAAGTTATTCATTCTCTTTATTGTTTAGATTAAATTTAATCCCATAAAGATTAAGATAAACAGCAACAGTCCTAAACAAGCATCCTTTATATGTATTCAAATATTTAACTCATACAGGAAGAATGAATTAGTTTCACCTTTTAGCAGTTAAAGTGCCTGGAGATGACATGTTGTGAACTGGCTCTATGTAAATAAACTGAACTGAATTGAATTAAACTGAAATATCGAACTGGATCATTTATTCAGAGGTAAATTCCCAGCAGAACAGTCAGAATTGGAGCTGCTGAATAAATAAGGCGTTCTGAGCTTCTTTAATGTTGGTTTAATGACACATTGAAACTCTGCAGTTTGCCTGCTGGACAAGAACACTGCAAAAAATCATCAACATGAGGCAAATATTCGTACAATAAATATAATCAATTCTTCTGATTGGAGACGATTAAATCTGCCACCTGGGTAAGAAAAAGCTACTTAGATTAAATTACGCTTCATTAAATTCATTTTTTGAACTGGCGAGTTAATAACGCAGCCTGTGATTTAAAATAATTCAAAATAATCTTATTATGGAGTTTTATCCTAAACCATTATCAAGCTTAAGATGAGCTGAAATGTCCTATTAGTAAAGGCAAATAAAAATATGAAATATTCTTTCAGAACATCAAGATAAACGTCTCAGAATAAATTATTCGTCATTTATTCCCCTTAACTTAACTTTTACTACATTTTATGTAAAAATCGTGGTTCTGTTGGTTTTTCTCTAAGTTTTCAGTTTTAGGTTCATCCAGGTTTTTCCTTGTTTTCTTGCTTTATTGGTTTGTTCTGGATTCATTTAAGTTTCTTAGGTTTTTCTTTGTCTGTCCTCTGTTCACTGGAAAAACGATCTAGAAATAAGTAAAAAAAAAATGTAAATTAAGTGTATTTACCTTTAATTTGAATATTTAAATGAGATAATCTGCCAATGGAATGAGTGTTTTTACTCTTAAAATAAGATATTTAGATAATATGCACTTGAAATAAGACAATGCAATAATTATAAAGGTAAATTTTCTTGTTCCATTGGCATAATGTCAATTCAAGAACAAATGCACTTATTTTGAGAAAAAATGACTGATCTAGTTTTTAATTTTTGCCAGTGTTGCCCCCTTGTTGTCATGTTTGGCTTAACCTTGAGGGTCCAGTAGCTGTCGGCAGGCTGAGGGCTTGGCGGAGGCAGAGCTTGGTTTGAGTGTTTGCAGATCACAGATTTGAGTTTCCCTTCCAGATTCTTCAGAGAGCGGGCAGGCAGGTCTTTGACAGGAATTATTCTCCAGGGTTCTTTCAGAGATCAGACAGGCAGGTTTCCAACAGAGAAACTCTTCAGGGTTTCTGGTTTCAGGCAGGTTCAACCGTAACTGGCAAACACTCTGGCACTGGAGAGATGTCCTCTGCCTCCTTAAATACAGATCTCCTGATGAGCAGATGGTGGTAGCAATCAGCTCCGGCTCCAGAAGATCTAGTTCGCCCTCAGGTGGAGAAAGTGGACAAACCTCCGGATCCCAACACTTGTGTTTTCTTTTCCCATTGCTTCCGAATCAGCTCGACTCACACCTGCTCCTTATCAGCTCGTTAGTCCTTCCTTTGTTCAGTCAGCCATAAATACACTCCCTGTGCTGG